GTCAGTTCCGGGATGTTCTAGCTGGTTAATCTTCAGCAAATCAAAGCCTCAGCTGTAAAATGGGTAGCTTCTCACTTCACATGGTTGCTGTTAGGATAATAAGAAAATACAGCAGGCAGCCTGCTATCCCTGAGAAATCGGGCAACTTGCAGTTCTAAACATATAGGAGAAGGAAGTCCATGTCAGAGTGTCCTGAGGCTGGGAATGGCGGCTGAGATGGAAGGATTGCTTGAGCCCTGGAGTTTGAGAGCAGCCCGGGCAACATAGTGAGACCCATTTCTACACAAAATTAAAAAACAAGAAAATAGCTAGGTAGACCTGTCTCTACACGAAACAAAAAAAGAAAATTAGCTATGCATGGTGGTGCATGCCTATAGTCCTAGCTACTTGGGAGGCTGAGGTGGAAGGATCGCTTGAACCCAGGACATCGAGGCTGCAGTGAGCCATAACCAGCCTGGGCAACAGAGTGAGACCCTGTCTGATAAAGAATATCATAATACTGTCATGTTGCACTTTTCTCATCAGGTGACAAGGTTTTGATGTGACTTTATGCAACCACACATAGTACCATGGAATTGAAATACATCCTCAAGGCTTTTGTGCTAAGTAAAAAAAAATCGAGATGAAAACAGAAAAGCTAGGAGGAGTGGTGATGGTTGACAGCATAGGCTCTAAATCTGGGTTTCTCGGCCTCGGCACTATTGATACTTAGAGTCCAGTAATTCTGTGTTATGGTGGGGTCTGTCCTGAGTGTGGCAGGTTGTATAGCAGCATCCCTGGCCTCCATCCACTAGATGCCAGGAACACCTCCTTCCCAGTTGTGACAACCAAAAATGTGTCTAGGCATTGCCAGATGTTCCCCGGTGGAAGAACTGGTCCTGGTTAAGAACTGCTGCTCTTAAGGAAGATGAATGGGTTCAGTTCCTGGCTTTACCATTGATTGTCAGTGTGAACTTGGGAAGCATATTTAACCCCCAAAGCCTCGGTTTTCTTAGGTATGAAATGGAGAAGGGGCTGGGCACGGTGGCTCTCGCCTGTTATATCAGTACTTTGAGAGGCCGAGACAGGAGGATCACGAAGTCAGGAGATCGAGACCATCCTGGTCAACATGGTGAAACCCCTTCTCTACTAAAAATACAAAAAAAATTAGCCAGGTGTGGTGGCGGGTGCCTGTAGTCCCAGCTACTCAGGAGGCTGAGGCAGGAGAATGGCATGAACCCGGGAGGCGGAGCTTGCACTGAGCTGAGATGGTGCCTGCACTCCAGCCTGGGGGACAGAGTGAGACTCCATCTCCAAAACAACAACAACAACAACAACAAAATGGAGAAGGATAATATTCTAAGTCCCTACCCTACTGAGTTGTCATTAGGATTACATGAGAAAACACACCTCAAAAGTGTAGCAAAATTCTTGGCTGTATGCTGTGTGTTATGTGTGTGTGTCTGCATGTGTGTGTGGTTTAATACATCCTGAAGCTTTGTCTGACTTTAAAGCTTTGAAAAACACACTCCTCCTTTTCCTCCTTTTCGCAGAAAGAGTTATTCAAAATGTGACAATTCTTCAGGTCAGAAGTGAACTGAGAATGTTATTATTAAGATGTGGGCACTGAAATTGAGCTGAATCAGATAATTTTACCCTAAAGCCAGCTAACTGTTGACACCTGACGTTCTATAGAATACAACCACAGAGATTTAAATGAATTAAATTAAACCAGACTCTGAAAGAAAATCAAAATATGCTGAGACTAGGTTTCAGATCCCGAAGCATCTCTTACGGGGTGCTCATGAAACTCTCTACAGTAGCTTTCGTGACCCACCTGCGCAGACACCACTCATGTCTCGGCTTTTCTTCAAGCTGGAGTGAAAATCATTCATTTCTTCTCAATGTGAATTTGCTGGTTGGACCCATAGTCAGGGTTGAGACTGAGGAGGTGTTTGGTTTAGCTCTCCCCTGGTCTGGCTGCTTGAACACAATCTGTAGACGGCTGATCTTTCAAGAGCATTGTAGGTTTTTAACATTTGGGATAAATTAACCAGTTTGACAAAAGCAAAACAGTTCCCCTCTTAAGATGAAGTGCTCCTTAAGTGCCTATACAATTTCCAGCCCAGGTTGGATGTGTCTCCTCCCCTGTCTGCTCTGAAGGGGCACTGGAACCCAATGTGTGAGCAAAATAATGAGACGCAGTGGTGCTCCTGTGGGCCGGGCTCTGCAGAGCTGAGTGACGAGTCCATGATAACAATCTCAGTGGAGCCTGAACTTGGCCTGAACCCGGTGCTTTCCGCCTTCCTCGCCCTTACTTGGGATGCCTTTGGTGTCCCCTTCTCCAGCCTCCGCACTACCAAGCATTTAAATACTTTCTCTTTTATTATTTCTCCTTCAACAATAACCATAATATATGACTTGAGACTTTCCTGGCATGGGCCCAGTTTTCATGAATACTAATCAGTCACCCAAATCCTTTCTTTCAGAATCTCTCTCCTGTGTTCAGGGAATGTTGCATCTTGCCTGCAGCGGGAATGAACGTTATAAGAAATCGGGTTGATGAATGCCTGCTTCCCTCAAACTGGAGTGGCTTCCCATAGTGGCAGGGCCATCTGCCAGTCACCTACCCTTTGATTAAATACTTCCAAACATGGGAAGCTTACTACCTTATAAGGTGATGTGTTCCATTCCCTTGGGGGACAGCATCCGCTGCTGTTCTCTGCCGTGGCAGCCTGGTGGTGTCCTTTCTAACATGTATCAGCATCCGCAACTATTTATTTGTTCATTCGTTGACAATCTGGGCTCCCCCTCCCTGCAATAGTTGTAAGCTCCATGAAGACAGAGAACTTCTTGATCTGCTGTGCATTTGGATCTCCTGTTGTTCTCTTCGAATATGAGCTGAACTGAAAGATGAATAAGTGAATGAAATAGTTTACTTTCTGAGTCAGATCTCCTGGTGGGCAGAATTTATGTCTATTTTACCCCCAGCATTTAGCATGGGGGCTAAGACAGAGTTAATACTATGATGTGGTAGAAAGAACACAGATTTGAGGTCAGACCTGTGTTTAAAAATTCCACCTATTCCACGTGCAAGGGGCTTAGGTAATTAGTATTTCTGAGTTGCAACTGCTTCAATCTGTAAAATAAATGTAACTATAGCACAGTACTCGATTCACATGTTGTGAAGGTTAAAAGATTTTTCTAAAGTACTTAGCAGTGCCTGGCACATAGTAGGTGTTCAACAAATATGATTTCAGTTGCATTGAGAAGGCCAGATGATTCTTACTAGCATGACCAGAAAAGACGAGGGTAGAGGTATGGTTCATCTGTCTGTCTCCTCCAAGCCTGCCTCTGTGTCTTTCCAGAGGTGAGAAAAATGAAATGACCTGTTAATTTGTTCTTGGAAGCCACTTTGGTGTATCAAGTGTCTCCAGAAGAGCATCCACAGATGAGGTGGCTTCGATACAGGAGACCCTTGTGCTTTGGTCAATGGCCCCCGTGTAGTTTGTAGAATAATTGATTTCAAATGTGCATTTATTTTTCTTTCCCTCCAACTTGTGGCTGCCTGGATTTTAAAACTGTTTATTCCCCCAAGTGTGCCTGGATGTTGGATATCATACAGATGCAACCTCTCTCTCCCCTCTCTTCCTCCCTTCCTCCCGCCCTCTCCCTGTCTTCCTCCCGCCCTCTCCCTCTCAGATTTGTCTGTCACTGTCCTAAATTAGGAACAAATCAAAATCAGTTTAAATCTCCCAACTTAATAAACACCAGATCCCCCAAATGTCAGAGAGTCTAGTCTTTTGCAAAGTCTTTAACTTGTGGCTCATACTTGAGACTAAGGAAAAAAGTGGTAAATGACATGAAATAAAGAGGGGGATGTTATAGGAACAGATGGGTTACTCACTAGGCCAAGAATGTGAGGACAAGTGGTCTGGAGCCAATCTCTACCACACGGCTGGACCATGTACAAGCCTTCTCGTCTCTGAGGACTCTGCCAGGGGTCTTGAGTTCTGATTAGGACAGCCTAGACTTCTGCGTTATCGTGAGTGGTTAGCTGTGCAGCAACAGGAATTGACTTCACTAAGATGTTTCCAAGTCATAACAGAATGTCAGCTTTTCAGGGCCCAAGAAAACCTCATCTGTGTCTTCATTTTGCAAAACTACTTAGCAATTTTGACCATGATTTGTATCATATCCAAATGACACTTCTTTTTTTTTTTTTTTTTTTTTTTTTTTTGTACTTGGTTTTATTCATGGAAAGACCTTTTAAAGTATGAGGGTTAGGGGAAAGGACATTGGATTGGGAGTTGATTCTAGGTCTGGATTATCCATAAACTTTTTATGGGTCTTAAATCACTTAGTGCTTCTGAACCTTCCTTTCTTTGTGCTCTGAGGAAGGCCTCAGGTGAGCTGCTTAAAATTATGGTCTGTGTAACATTGGGAGGTTTCTAAATATGGAGGGTCTTTACCCTCCAGCTGCACCCCACCCAGATCTATTTCACCATGATCAGATGGTGAACAGTTATCCATCTGTAACCCCTGGCACCTGCTGAATATGAGACTTTATGTGGCAAAGCAGACTTTGTAAATGCAGTTAAGAATTTTGACATGGGGAGATAAGCCTGGGTTATCCAGGTGCTTTTGGTGTAATTGCTCCTTATAATAGAGAGGGAGAGAGTCAGAGTGAGAGAAGGAGACATGATTGAGGAAGGAGGGTGAAAGATTACAGGTATACATATGTAACAAACCTGCACGTTATCCACATGTACCCTAGAACTTAAAGTATAATAAAAATAAATAAATAAATAAAATAAAAAAATAAAAAAAAATAAATAAATAAAAGAAAAACAGATATGATTCCACATATAATGGAAAAATCTATGTATATATGCATGCTTAAGAATGTGTGTGTATGTGTATGGAAATCTGTAGGAAAAGGTTTGGAAGTATGTGTGGCTGGGGAATTCATGTGGAGGTCAGAGTGGAAGCAGGTGTGAGAGGGTCCAGCAGAAGAAAACATGGCCGCCAAAGTGTTTGAGTCCATCGGCGAGTTTGGCCTGGCCTTAGTTGTTGTAGGAGGCATGTTGAACTCTGCCTTACATAATGTGAATACTGGTCACATAGCCGTCATCTTTGACCGATTCTGTGGAGTACAGGACATTGTGGTAGGGGAAGGGACTCACTTTCTTATCCCATGGGTACAGAAACCAATTACCTTTGACTGCTGTTCTAGACCACCTAACGTGCCAGTCATCACTGGTAGCAAAGACTTACAGAATGTCAGCATCACACTGCGCATCCTCTTCCGGCCTGTCGCTAGCCAGCTTCCTTGCATCTTCACCAGCATCAGAGAGGACTATGATGAACGTGTGCTGCCATCCATTGTTACCAAGATCTTCAAGTCAGTGGTGTCTCGCTTTGATGCTGGAGAACTAATCACCCACAGAGAGCTGCTCTCCAGGCAGGTGAGTGACAAGTTTACGGAGCCAGCAGCCACCTTTGGGCTCATCCTGGACGATGTGTCCTTGACACATCCGATCTTCCAGAAGGACTTCACAGAAGCAGTGGAAACCAAAGAAGGGGCTCAGCAGGAAGCAGAGAGGGCCAGATTCGTGGTGGAAAAGGCTGAGCAGCAGAAAATGGCAACCATCATCTCTGCTGAGGGTGACTCCATGGCAGCCAAGCTGATCCCCAACTCACTGGCCACCGCAGGGGACCACCTGATCGAGCTGAGCAAGCTGGAAGCTGCGGAGGACATCGCGTACCAGCTCTCACGCTCTGGGAACATTATCTACCTGCCTCCTCCAGCTGCCCCAGTGAGGGCCCACCCTGCCTGTACCTCTGCGGGGACTAGGCCACAGCCTTGATGATTCTTAACACCACCTTCCTTCTGCCCCTATCCCAGAAATCACTGTGAAATTTCATCATTGGCTTAAAGCGAAGGAAATAAAGGTAAAATCACTTTACATCTCTTAAAAAAAAAAAAAAAAAGACAGTGGGAAAAAGGGTCATGAGCCCAGGAATACAAGTGGCCTCTAGATACTGGGAAAGGCAAAAAAACAGATTCTTCTTTAGAGACTCCAGAAGGAATGCAGACCTGCTGACACCTTGATTTTAGGACTTCTAATCTCCAAATAATACATTTGTGTTGTTATCAGCCACTAAGTTTGTAGTATTTGTTACCTAGGAAGCAAGTATACCCACCTGTATTTGATTTACAGATTGAGATTTATTTTTTTATGTATGTATTTATTTATTTTTAACCTAAGATTTCATTTGAGGAAGGATTTCAGTGGTCGAAAATGTTTGAGAACAGATCCCTAAGTTCATTTCAGTTTGAAATGACTGTGATTGGCCAGGCGCAGTGGCTCATGCCTGTAATCCCAGCACTTTGGGAGCTGAGGCGGATGGATCACCGGAGGTCAGGAATTTGAGAACAGCCTGGCCAACAAGGTGAAACCCTGTCTCTACTAAAATACAAAAATATTAGCCAGGCATGGTGGTGGGTCCTGTAATCCCAGCTACTCGGGTGGCTGAGGCAGGAGAATCACTTAAACCCAGGAGGCAGAGGTTGCAGTGAGCCAAGATTGCGCCACTGCACTCCAGTCTGGGCGACAAAAGTGAGACTCTGTCTCAACAACAAAGAAAGGGAATGACTGTGATCTTCTTAGTATCAAAAGACAACTCCGGGCACAAAGAATGTGAATGCTTGCAGCCTTCGTAGGGAATGGCACGGCATTCTCCAGTAGTCAAACCTGCCTTGTCATATCCTCCTCCATCATCTAGCAAGCTCTTTACGAGACTGCAGGCTCCAGGGAAGCAGCGCCACTCTTTTTTGTTCACTACAGGCGGGGCCTATTGTAGATGCTCAGTAACTATTCTTGGAATAAGGATAAATAAATGAGTAAAGGGCCACTGGCCCTGGTAGAAATGAAAATGGCATGGCCACTGTGGAAGACGGTTTGGCAGATTCTAACAAAACTACGCATTGTCTCACCATGCATTCCAGCTATCCAGCTCCTTGGTATTTGCCTAATTGAGTTGAAAACTTACATCCACACAACCAACATTTGTAACAGCTTTATTCGTAATTGCCAAAACTTGGAAGCAACCAAGAGGTCCTTCAGTAGATGAATGGATACATAGGCTTTGGTACATCCAGACAACGGAATAATACTCAGCACTAAAAGGAAATCAGCTATCGAGCCATGAAAGTATAAGTGAAAACCTTAAATATGGATACTAAGTGAAATAAACCAACTGGAAAAGGCCATATACTGTATGGTTTCAACTATTCTGGAAAAACCAAAACCGTGGAGATAGTAAAAATATTGCTGGGTGCGGTGGCTCACACCTGTAATCCCAGCACTTTGGGAGACCGAGGTGGGTGTATCACGAGGTCAAGAGACCGAAACCATCCTGGCCAACATGGTGAAACTCTGTCTCTACTATAAATACAAAAATTAGCCAGGCATGGTGGCGTACGCCTGTAGTCCCAGCTACTCTGGAGGCTGAGGCAGGAGAGTCGCTTGAACCCAGGAGGCAGAGGTTGTAGTGAGCCGAGATCACACCACTGCACTCCAGCCTGGCAACAGAGCGAGACTCCATTAAAAAAAAAAAAATTAGTGGTTGCCAGGAGTTAGACGGGGCGACTAGATGGAGCACGGAGGATTTTTAGGGCAGTAAAACTCTTCTATATGATACTACAGTAGCGAATACATGGCATTGTACATTTGTCCAAACACATAGACTGTGCAACACCAAGAGGGAAGCCTAATGTAAACTGTGGGCTTTGGGTGACCGTGATGTGTCAATGCGGATTCATCAATTGTAACTCATGTATCACTGTGGTTGGGGATATTGATAGGAAGGTTGTATGTGTGGGAAGGTATATGGGAAATCTCTACTTCCTGTTCCATTTTGCTATGAATCTGAAAGTGCTTTAAAAAAAGTATATAAAAATTTTCAAAGACCACTGGTCTAGCTGCAGTTTTTCTACGTAGGCTATGCTTTGCAAAGATTACCCTAAAAGGAAATTCTCTTCCCAATTCTCTTGCCTCTCTGAGCAACTCCCTCCTCTCCCCCCTCCTCCCCCCCTCCCCCCTCCTCCCCCTCCCTCTCCCACCTCCTCCTCCCCTCCCCGCTTCTCCCTCCCCCACCTCACCTCCTCCTTCCTCCTTTTTTTGTATTTTTAGTAGAGATGGGGTTTTGCCATGTTGCCCAGGCTGGTCTCGAACTCCTGACCTCAAGCAATCCACCCACCTCGGCCTCCCAAAGTGCTGGGATTACAGGCATGAGCCACCGAGCCCGGCCAACTCCTTCTTATCAAGATTTTTCTATCTTTCTCTCTTCTACCACCTCGCCTGTGCTGTGCGTCGTATCTATTATCTCCAGTACCCCCTGAGCTATCCTCAACTCTGGCACTAATCCCTGCTGCCCTGTCATTGTCAACACTTATTCATGTGACCTACTGGGCTGTGAGTCCCTGGGGGGGCTACACATGTCCTTTATTTTTGCATTCCTAAGGTTTAACATGGTTCCTGTCTCACACACACACCCGGCAGGGTTCAGTACATATTTATTGGCCAAATGATTGAGATTTAAAGACCTGCAAGTATTTTGCAGTGTCTGGTCCAGCTTTGCCAAAACTTTCCTCTCTTTTCTCTCCCAAATGTCCAATTCTCTTCTATAATTATTTCCCTCCCATTTCTTTCCTTATTTCAGTTGTATCTGTGTCAGATTGTCTTCTCTTGCAGTCCTGAGGTGAAAAGTACTGATTTCTGTTCTAAACCAAGACATTCTCCAACTTTCCAGAGTCCTGAAAACATTAATGTGGGTATTTCAAAAAGTATGTATGGTAAATGTGTTAGGCTTGGTATTTAAATTAATATTCACAGCTTTCCTCACCAGCGCTGGGCTTTCACAGTTTCCTTTTTATTTTTATGAATTGCATTTGCAAACTGTAAGATTATCAAATTCTTCTTGAATATGGTATAAATACATGAATATGTAATAAAGACATGCAAGTTCCCTCTTTGTAGTGAGTGAGTGGGGGCAAACTGAGAATATAATGCCATAGAATAATTCAAGAAGTTGGCAGATTCTGACAAAGGGGGAAATCCCACTTGTAAAAGTCAGTGGGATAGAAGACGTACCTCTCTAAATGAGCAGATGGGCCTCTCCCTGAGGGCGTGGGGCAGGGCTTCTTATCTCATAGCACGTCTTTCTTTTTTTAAAAAAAATAATTTCAACTTTCATTTTCAATTTGGAGAGGATACATGTGCAGGTTTGTTACATGGATGTGTTGCGTGTTGCTGAGGTTTGGGGTACAAATGATCCTGTCACCCAGGTATCAAACATAATACCCAGTAGTTTGTTTTTCAGGCCTTGTCTCCCTCCCTCTCTCCCTCCCTCCATCTGTCCCTCCATCTCTCCATCCCTCACTCTTTCTCTCGCCCCTGTCTTTTATTCCCGGTGGCTATTGTTCCCATCTTTATGTCCATGTGTACCCAATGTTTAGCTCCCACTTATAAGTGAGAACATGTAACAGTTGGCTTTCTGTTTCTGTGTTAATTAGCTTAGGACGATGGCCTCGAGCTGCATCCATGTTGCTGCAAAGGACACGATTTTTTTCTTTTTTATGGCTGCATAGTATTCCATGGTGTATGCATACATACCACGTTTTCTTTATTCAGTCCGCTGTTGAAGGGCACCTGGGTTGATTTCATGTCTTTGCTACATGAATTGATAGCACTTCTTTCATCCTTTCCCAGATGCTTAACATCACAGCAAAGGCAGATACTCGATCATCTCCAGTCTTTTCCCCTAGTTGATATGCAAATATCCTTTGAAGGTATGACAGGAAATGATGACCAGTCATAATACCTTAATGTGATGCTTCATTCATTACTTCTCTTCCAGAAGATGAAGTCCAATGTATAGAGAGGATAAGTAAGGGTCTTGGAGAGAAGAATTGGGGAAAGAGTCTGCAAGGGATAGAAAAAGATCAGAGGAGAATTTGAGGAAGCAAAGATTAAGAAACATTGATTTCCATTAATAATATTTCATTCTAAGGTTCCAGGATGCTATTGGCAAATCCTGTTCCTATTGTTCAGAGGTATAACTGAATTTGAAAGGTAGACTGCAATGAGGAATGAGTGTGGCGTGTGCAAAATGGCTGGGATGGCCCTTCTCACATTGTGGTTTCCATACCACAGTGGTGTGGAACTATGGAAGGAATTGAGATGTGAAACTTGGAGCACCCCTAGAGGGTGGGGACACAAGTACTCTGGGTCCAGACAGCTCATTGCTGATACTTCGGGGAGAGAGCAGATGTGCAGGGTGTGACCCCAGCAGACAGAATGGGTCCAGTGGGAGTTGGTTAGAGGAAAGTGGATTCCAGGTCCTCATAAGGAATGGATTTTTGCTATGGGAGGATGATGGGTGCCCATTACTGGGTGTGTCCAGGCAGAGGTAGAGGAAATGGCTGAGTGGAAGTTAGAGTAGAGACCCTCTGACAGCCCTTCTAATTATAGGACCTCATGAAGGTAGCTCTGGGCAGAGTCCTGAGGACAGAAATCAAATTCATTTCCAGAAACTGTACTTCTCTATGTCATGACAAAGCCTTAGCAAATTTTAACTTGAACATATTTCTAGGCTAGGTAAATCTAAATTTCAATCCTAGCTCCTCCCATGATCATGTAAGGGTCTTTGAGGAACTGAGGCCTGGGAAGTTTAAACAACTTGCCTGTGTAAAACAGGAGAAAGAATGTTGTCGTCAGCTTAAATAAGACAAAATGTATACCATGCTCGGCATATAGTAGACCCTCAAGCAATGTCGGTTTTCTCATGCGCATGACCTCAGAACACCAGTTGTCTGCATTCAGCATTTGTGTGACTGTCTCCTTAGTGAATCAT